AATAAGTGTTATGGTGTTTTCGCTTTCGTTCGCAAATTGTAATATTCAAATTAAGTTCCTACGATAAGTTACACACTCAAATTTTATAAGTTCTACTTCTTGCCCTTTCTTATTTCAATTACAGTTTCTTTCTAAACAAGTAATTGTTTTATTTCACTATATCAATTCAACAGGCCAGATAAAATCAACTTTGAAAGTCCATTTTAGTTTCTCTACTGAGCTGTCGAAGGCTAGCGGACTAATTGGACTTGCAGCAAGAACAAAGCCGCTGAAAGAGACACTGTTGCATACAAGCCATGGAAGGGATGTTGTAAACCGGCACCCTCCACCCTCTGAGCAACTGTATTGGTTATGATGTCGTACATGGTCTGCTTTCGATCTCCAATTTTATTGATCTTTCTCGTGACCTTCACTACCTTTGCTTGGATGATGAATCTCTTTATGTTTTTCTCCAGTTTTCCTTATAGTATTTGGCATATTTTCTAGTTAGCTTCTGTCTGTTTCTCTCTTTCTCGATAATATGAAAATTATTTGATTGTACCGATAGAGCCACGTCATATCATTATACAGATAGTGTCTTGTGCTTTGTGTTATTGACTAGGTGTTTTAAACACATAGTAAAATGTACTCATCCAAAAAGAGATAATTGGCTATATGACCATTGATTTATAACAGACGGCTGGCTTCAAAAAAAGTTTTTCGGTTTCCTAACTATAATTTAATTTAAAAGAATTGTCAATAAGCATTTTTTTCATTTTTTGTAACAACTTCAGTTGTGTTATTTTTAATAAATATTAAAAACTTTACAGAATATAAGCAATCTGATCCGATCCAATACAGAATAATATTTAACGCAAACATGCCACAAGAGAAGAGTTTCATAACCTTTTTAACACAAAGGTATTGTCTTGTATCAAAGATACCAATTTAACCGTTATTGCCTTTCAATACATTTCAAGTTCCTAACATTCTTTAGATGTACTTTGCTCGATTAAGTAGAAAATTTCAAAATTCATTACAGGAATTGAATTCTGAAAATGTACGTAATATTTATGGCTTACTAGAAAGACACTGTTTTCATAAAACAATATAAGTAATATATTTTTTACTTTAGTTTACTCGTATATAAAATAACATACTAGTTATCTAAGCATACATTTTATGCTTAGATAACTAATATCCAAAATACATAAATACATAAATAATTACTTCTTTTTTATATTTTTATTTATAATTAAATAAAATTTGAATTATCGTTAAACTTTTATTATTATAATAACGTAATAACACAAATGAAACAAACTTAAGTAATTTCTAATAAAACTTATTAGAAATTAATGCTTAGGTGTTTATCCGAAAAAATGGCATCTTCTTCTTCCGGTTCCTATCTGTTTCTGATGTTGGAAATCATATTGGCAATCATAACCTTGCTCGCTGCGGCTCGAAACAGCTCCGTTGAGGTTTTCTTAAACCATGTTCTTAAATTCCGCAGCCATGATATTCTCCTTCTACCGGGTCCTCGCTTACCTTTGACTTTACCTTGCAATATAGACTGTAGCAGGGAGTAACGGTGCTGATTTCTCATAATGTGTCCCAGATATTGCAATTTTATGCGTTTGATCGTAAACACAATCTCTGGTTCCTTCTTCATTTTTCCTAGAACTTCCTTGTTCGTGATCCTTGCTGTCCATGATATTCTCAGCATTCTTCTATAAAGTCACATCTCAAATGCTTCAAGTTTTTTAATAGTGGTGTCTGTAAGCGTCCATACCTCCTCCACGTACAACAACACAGAGAAAACATAGCATCTCAAATGTCTCATTTTTGTATCAAGGGATATGTTGTGACTTTTGAAGATGGCGCTTATTTTGTTAAAGACCGTTCTTGCCTTTCCTATGCGGCACTTTATTTCCTGTAAGTTGCTCCACTGTTCGTTAATAATAGTTCCCAGGTAACAATACTGTTTTACTCGCTCTATCTGCGTCCGGTTAATGTATAGATGAGCCCCATTTGTTTCGTTTTGTGGGTATTAATGTTTAGTCCGTACTGTTGACTGTACTCGTTTATTCTGTCCATTAGCCTCTGAAGTCTCTTTAAACTATCTGCTATCGCCATGGTGTCGTCGGCATATCTAACATTGTTTACTCTTTCACCATTTAGAAGGATGCCTTCGTCTATTCCGTAAAGAGCCTCGTTAAAAATTTTTTCTGAGTACATATTAAATATCAACGGCGATAGGATACATCCCTGTCTAACTCCACGTAGTATTTTTATGTGATCTGTTTCTTCTCCGTTAATTTTCATGTATGCGGTCTGATTCCAGTAGAGTTCTGAAATTATTCTGAGGTCTTTGTCATCCAGCTCTGCCTCATTTAAAATGTTTATCATCTTTTGATGTTGAACTCTGTCAAATGCCTTTTCATAGTCGATCAAGCACGCGTATACGTCGCAGTTAACGTCCCTGCATCTTTGAATCAGTACCTGTACTCCGAAAAGTGCCTCTCTGGTACCCACTGCGTTACTTGCGAGCTTGGTTCGGCGTTAATGAAGCCGAACTGTCTGCCCGATATTTGTTCCTCGCACTTCTTATAAATTCTTCCATGGATGACTCTAAGAAACAGTTTCAACATGTTGCTCATTAGGCTGATTGTTCGATATTCTTCGCACTTTTTAGCCCCCTGTTTTTTTAGGTATCGCTATGAATTCTGATTCTAGCCATTTATCAGGGATGATTCCTGTATTGTAAATTTTATTGAAGACAGCCGTGATCCAAATTATTCCTTCTTCCTCCAAGAGTTTTAAAAATTCAGCTTCGATATTATCAGGCCCTACAGCTTTCCTGCTTTTCATCAGTTTTATTGCTTCTTCTATCTCGGATTTAAGTATGTCCGGGCCCGTCATCCTCTCTGAAAATGGATGCCTATAATCCGTTCTTTGGTCTTGAAAAAGTGTCTCCAAATATATTCTTTATCTGTCTTTCATCTCTTGGGTGTCAATGATTAATTTTCCATTGGTATCTATGAGTTTCATTTGTGTTCGCTTTTTAAAAGTACCCGTTATTTCTTTTACCTTTTTGTGTACATTAAAATTGTCATGCTTGGCTTGTAGTCTTTCTATTTCTTTACATTTCTCTACAGCTTCTTTTTCTTTAGCTCCTCTTATTTTTCTTCTGGTGTAAGCCTGCATTTTTTTATACTCATCTTTATTTCCTTTAATTAACCTTCTGCGTTCCATTAAATGAAGGATTTCTGGAGTCATCCAAGATTTCTTTTTTGTTTCTTTGTTTGGTTTTAGCAGATCTTGTTTAGTTTTCTTAATTATTTCTTGGAATTGATTGATTTCTCGTTGGATGTTATTTTCTTCTTTTAGTTGTTTAACTTGGTTGTTAATATATTCCCCCACTTGCTTTTTAACTTCCAGATGTTGCAGGGCTGTCATGTCGTAGTTAGGTCTAGACTTTTCTTTATTGTCTTCAGTCTCACATCTATGACTTCCACTAAAGGTATGTGGTCAGATTCAATATCCGCTCCTGGATATGTTTTTCCGCTACGAACAATTAGACGAAGACTTGAAGAATCAAATTTAAGCAGTGGCAGACCTGCAACATGCCTACAACTTCTCAGGCGCCATTGAGTTGCGCGGCTTTAGTTTGCCAGAAACCGTGTTCATTTTAGTGTTAATAATTGGAAGCACGTTTTATTTACCGATGAGTCCAGGTTTACCTTGCGGTCTCCAGATGGCCGTGAGAGAGTATGGCAAAGACCACATGAGCGTTTTGCACAATGTAACTTCAGTCCTAGGGTAAGCTATCAACTTTTTGTTGTGCCTCATGCTGTTTTTGTTATAAATAATTTTGTTTCTGATGCATGATAATGCCAAGCCGTACAATGCAAAAATCACTTATCAGTTTTTAAGTGAAGTTAACATTCCTGTAATGACTTGGCCAGCATTGAGTCCAGACGCAAACCTAATCGAACATGTTTTTGACATGCTTGGGCGAAGGATACGAAGTCGTGTTCCTCCCCCCTTAGCCTTAAATCAGTTACAAGAAGCTCTTTTAGAGGAAACGGAACTTATTCCTTAACAGGACATTTCTCATTTGATTTTAGGCATGCCAAGGAGAATTCAGGCAATAATTCGAGCACGTGAAGGAAACATTCATTATTAAAATCGGTTGGTCCGAACCCTTGATTTAAGTTTTCATTAATTGTTAATTATTAATCATTAAACAGTTTGTTTCGTTTGTGATTACGTTATTATAATAATAAAAGTTTAAAAAGAATTAAAATTTTAAAGATTTATTTTAAAAATGCAAGTGCTCCGTCTTCTAATGAAAGTGGTGGCCGTTTTGGCTCTTGAGTTCGTTTTTCTGCTAGTATTGCTTTCTCTGAGGTGGGAAAAAATAATAAAATATGGATTTTACGGTTTTTGGTATTCTTTTTTTCTTTTCTTATTCACTCCGTTTCATTTACTAAATCGTCTTCATCATTTGCTGTTGACCCTGTCATCTTGCTGGGTATTCTCAAACTGTGCAATTTTTTGGTATATTACGGTATCCATTTGATTTACAGCAGAATATCTATATTAAGTTTCTAAACATTATTAATTTTTTGATCTAACCCATGCACCCAAGGAACTTATCGGGGCAACCTTACCGTTGAGAAGTCAAGTGAACAATTTTTTTATTTATCTCAGATAAACTAAAATGTACAAAAGTACGTGATCGTAGAATGGTATATTCTGATCTACCCAGTGGCGTAACTAGGGAGAGGGCGGGGACCGGGCCACTGATATGTGGGACCTCCAAATTGACGTAAAAATTATAAAATAAAAATTAAAAAATAACGAAAAAAATTTTAAACATATAAAACTACACTCTGGTACATAACATAAAATATTTTTAATGTTTACTTTATATTTTCCTTAATAAAAAAAAAATAGTACGCATTTTAATACACGTTGCAGTCACATAAAAAGCTTATTCAAATATTGAATAAACAATGATTATAAATGCACTGGAAAATTGTGGATTGGATTTACAATTGTGTAACAGTCAAGGCTATGATATTGATATTCACTGTCAGGTATACGGGTATCCAAGCAAGGATCAAGGAAAAAATAGTAAAATCATGTTTGTGCCTTGCGCAAACCAACTCCACACAAATTTGTGTGGAGTTCATGCATTTGCAATCAACTCTAGCTGTGCAAAGTTTTTTGCAACTTTGGAAAGTGTATATAGTTTTTTCTATACTGTATCTGTAAAACATCTATCTGACACTAGGTGGAGTGCTAAGCACGAAGCTGTGAAATCTATTTTGAAAGATTTTGATAAGTGAGTTCCAGTTACAGAAAAATTGTTTGACGCCAAAGAACATATTATAACACGGTGCTCTGCTTAAATTTTACTCTCAAATATTTGTTATTTCAAATTTCTTGGATTTTTTTATTTATGTGGGTACATTTTGCAAGAATTAAACAATTCAGAGAGGTATTTACAGACGGAATGTTTAAGCCTTGAAAACGTCGTAATATAACTCCAAAGTTAAAAGTCTTTTTGAAAGACAGTCGATATAAGTTGGTTGGGAAGGCTCTTCAGTTTGCTTCAGAGAAATGCGATGAAATGGAAATTTCTCTCAAAAAAAAAAGTAGGTGACGTTTAAAAAAGATAATAAATAGAGAAACCACCCAAGATACCGGACTATCTCTTTGGCCTATATGACCTCTCCGAACTAAGGTGAAACTAAAAGATGTATGCTTGAATGTTTAGACAAACTATACCAAGAGCATCAAATTAAAGTGTAAAAAATGGAGACTGTATTCTAAAAATTCAAAATCTTTCAAGTTGAGTACTTACTCAATGATTATGACACACGATTCGATAAGCAAATAATTATTAATGAAATCAGAAGACTTCGTCACCATTTAAAAGCTGGAAGAATAAATAAAGAGGCCAGAAATTGAACTACATTAAAGATGAAATGGTAGGCTTCCACGGCCAGAGTCAGAATTATAGTTTATTCGTCTTCCGAGTTTGGACCGTGTCATTTGTGAGTGACCCAAAAGTGGGTTCATCTCGACGTTTCGCTACAATTGTATGTAGCTTCTTCAGGAGAACAAAGAAAAAGAAATCAAAAGACAGGAAGATGGGTAGTTAGCAACGGTAACTCAGTTACTCAACGCAACCAGAGGCGAATACTAACTACCAAGATGGGCATTTGGTCACAGTAACTCAACTACTTAACGCAACCAGAGGTGAAAAATAAATGCCAGGACAGGGATTCACGTCCAACAGCTCAGAACATTCCGCAAAACCTCAGAGTTATCCAATCTTCGCTCTAAAGTTTCATCTCTACTTTCTTCGCTCACCTTCCTCTCTAGATGTCGTGATAATAACTTGGTTCCCAATTTTCTTGTTCTAAAACATCACATTTCCTCTTCATCTTCTTCCCGAATTCTACATCGAGCCAGCCTATCTCTACTTCGTGAACGGATTCAACATATTCGAAAAACCCTTAATTTTCAATCCCAAAAACTTTTTAAGCTGCATCTTGAACTCTCCAGTATTCTTAGTGTCGGATGATTGGTCACTTTTAGACCGCATTTCCTATCATCAAGCCGTTAAAATCCTTCTTCTAAGCAACGAAACTCACAAAAAGAAATTCTAATCCCTTGTATCTAAGAAAAAATCACATTCCACCACTTCTACTTCTCATTCACCTCTTACTAACACCGTCGTTAATCTTTCTTCTCACCAATTAACAAGTGCAGAAAGCAGTCTTCTATCTAAAGGTCTTAATTTTGCTATCGCTCCTTCCAAAATTCCTACCGAAGAAATAGTTTCAAATGTGGAAGCGGCACTCCGCACAATTCCCAAAATTCCAGCCGACCGTACCCGCTTTGACGTCGCTAAATGTATTGATACAGTTAAAATCCCTACTTCCAATATATCTCGTGAGGAATTCATAGCTCTCAAAAATCTCCGTTCTCTTTCTGAGATAATAATCCTTTCTGCAGACAAAGGTAATGCCACAGTCATCCTGGATACTCCTTTCTACATAGAGAAAGTAAACGACTTACTTAGAGATACATCCTGTTATAATATAATTTCTCGAGACCACACTCCTAGAGTCGAACGCGAAATTTCCCATGCCATCAAACAATCCGATCTTTCCGATGATGTTAAGAAGTCCATAGTTCCGAAAAACTCCATCTGCCCCAGAATTTACGGTCTTCCCAAAATCCATAAAGACAACGTACCTCTTCGTCCCATTGTGACTACGATTAACTCTCCTACCTACAAACTCGCAAAGTACTTGTCGAATCAGTTTAAGACCTATACTGGTAGTACCTCTTCTTATGTCCGAAATTCCACACATTTCATCACCTTAATCTTCTCCCTCACGGTCGATCCCCAAGACATTCTCGTCAGTTTCGATGTATCATCCCTATTTACCAATATCCCCATACATGACTCTCTAGTTGTTCAGCGAGATCACTTGACCAATGATAACAAGTCTTTGGTTTTGGCAGATCTTGCGGAAAAATGCCTCCTTTCAACATATTTTTCTTTTAGAGGCAATTTCTACAAACAAATATCTGGAACACCAATGAGTTCTCCCCGTTCCCCTGTCATTGCTGACATTTTCATGGAAGCCTTTGAGTCTTTAGCCCTAGAATCTTACCCCTTAAAACCAAAAGTCTGGTTCCGCTACGTTGATGATACATTTATGGTCAACATACCCTTTCTCCCTTCCTAGATCATCTTAACTCACAACATCCGAGTATAAAATTCACAATGGAAGTAGAAAATAATCGGTCCCTTCCCTTTCTCGATGTGTTAGTCACCTCCAAGCCCAATGGCTGATTGGGTCACTGTGTTTATAGAAAAAAGACTCACACGAATCGTTACCTACATGCTTCATCACACCACCATCCTGCCCAAAACAATTCTGTGATCAACTCTCTCATCCATCGAGCCATTTCGATTTCTGAACCTGACAACCTTAGAGAAGAACTTGGCCATCTGCAAAAAACCCTTGTCGCCAACGGTTACTCCAAGTCCACAATTCAAAATATTACACACCGACATCTACATACCCCTTTACACCCTAGGACGACAAATTCAGAATCTTCGGGTAATACTTCTGTGGCTTTTCTTCCGTATATTCGAAGTGTCACTGATATGATTGGCAAAATTCTTCGCAAAGAAGGTATCAGGACTACTTTTTGACCACCCAAGAAAATCTTACAATATCTACCCTCTCCTAAGGACCCATTACCGCCCCTATCTTTCTGTGGTGTCTATTCTATTCCTTGTTCATGTGGACATGTGTATATTGGCGAAACTGGTCGTTCCGTCAAAACTCGGATTCAAGAGCATCAAAGATGCATTCGATCAGGTCTTTTCTCCCATTCTGCAGTTGCAGAACACTGCCAAGAAACCAGTCATTCCATATTGTTCAAAAAAACCCATATTATTTCTAAGAGCCCCTTCTTTTATTCCAGGAAAATCCGCGAATCTCTAGAGATCCGAAAAAATCCACATAATATCAATCGAGAGGAAGGATACTACTTGTCTCCCATCTGGAATCTCAGTCTAGAGCCGCCGTCCGGTCCCGCTACCACGATGCAGCCACATGATTGGCCAGCGCGCGCTTTTTGACGTTCGCGCCACGGAGTGTGCCGATACGTCCCGACACGACAGGTCACCGTGACTATAAATAGAGCGGTAGCGGAGTAATCGTCGGATTCACTCCCCGCCTCTCGACGTGTTAGTGTTCTGAGCTGTTGGACGTGAATCAGTGTCCTGGCATTTGGTTTTCACCTCTGGTTGCGTTAAGTAGTTGAGTTACTGTGACCAAATGCCCATCTTGGTAGTTAGTATTCGCCTCTGGTTGCGTTGAGTAACTGAGTTACCGTTGCTAACTACCCATCTTCCTGTCTTTTGATTTCTTTATCTTTGTTCTCCTGAAGAAGCTACGTACAATTGTAGCGAAACGTCGAGATGAACCCACTTTTGGGTCACTCACAAATGACACGGTCCAAACCCGGAAGACGAATAAACTATAATACATTAAAGATGGCACAGTTTATTCTTGATAAGGACCTGATGGAATTTGTTTCAAATATCTTTGGAACAATATGTGTCTTTATTGCTTCTAATGACAGAAGGTTTTCAAAATTGAACCTTACAAAAAGCTATTTACGATCCACGGTCAGCGAGACCCAGCTAAATAGTTTGACAATGCTCTGGATTAAATGTGAAGTAGCAAACAACATCACCTTCGACAACGTAATTTTCAGAAATAAACATTGTTTATGTTTGTTAGTAAAAACTCTAAACTAAATTAAAGTATGAATATTAACAAAATAATCTTGTATTATCAATGTTAACCCTTGCTTTAATGTTTGGATAATCAATAAAACCAAACTAGATTAATTCAACTAAAATATTTTTTAGCATAGCAGAGGTATAGATTTTATTATATTTTAACTTTCAATTTCAAGCATGTTGTATTTTATTCAGGCCTCCTGAATTGTAGTTACGCTACTGGATCTACCTAGTCCACAGTATGAAAATTATAAGAAGAATTCAATTTGTTCTCCTCCAAGGATGTGGTGACGTTATGGTGTTTGACGAATGGTTGCTATCCATTCTTCTCTCTCCTGGGCGCGGTGTACTGTCTCAGACAGAGAGTAACCGGTAGCGCACTTTATTTGGTCTAACCATCGGAGTGGCAATCTTCCTTGAGTTCTTTTACCATCTACCTTACCTTCAATCACCAACCTCTCCACGCCTTCCATTCGTCTGGTAATGTGTCCAAAGTACCTCAATATATTTTGGTTGATGATTGTGGTAAGCCTTTTAATGGTCCAAGTTTCTGACGCATAGGTAGCGATAGGAAAAATAAGCGTATCTCTTCTTCGCATCCACCATTTTTTGTGACAACAGAACCTAAGTAATTGAAACGGCTTAATACTTCAAACCCCGCTACGTTCGTATTACCGTCTGGGTATTTCTAATTCGATAGATTATCACTACCTTTGTCTTCTGTACATTAATTTTAAGTCGATATTCAGGACTAATAGTACTAAGTCTATTTATGATGTATTCAAGGTCATTTGTTGATGATGCTAGTATTAAAGTGTCGTCAGCATAGCGGAGATTGCTGATTTTTCGGCATCCGACTGATATTCCTCCTTGCCATCCGTCGAATACAATGCGCATGATGTGTTCGCTATGTATGTTGAATAACGTGTAGGGTTCAACAGGGTCATCAGGTTCATCAGGGCTATAGTGCGGTAGTTATTACAGCCAGTTGGTGAGTCTTTCTTA